TAATGGAATAGTTTAGGTTAGATGGGCTTCAGATTGGTTTCACAGGTTGGCGCAACATCGAGGGCCGAAGGGCCTGTACTGCGCTGTAATGTTCTATGTTCTATGTTCTATGTTCTAACCCTCAGCAGACTTGATACTGCATTTACATTCGGGTTGAAGTTTTCAGTCACTCAAGCGGTGGGTCATTTATGAAACTGGAATTCACTTCTCCATTTGTGGTGCATGAAAACATATGACCTTAAGAATGAGGAGCAGGACTGGGCAATTCAGCCACATGACCCTGCACCGATATTCATAGCTGATCTCATCTCCACTTTCGTGACCACTCTTCATAAATAACTCTTCAACGTGTTACTAATTGACCTTCAGTGTCCCGGCATTCACTGTACTTTTGGGGCAGTGAATTCCATGCCTCTAAGAAATGTTTTTGCTCGTGAGGCCACCTTTCATTTAGAAAGTCACTTTATATTATGGACTGCATAATATTATAGGTAACGGAATATACAGTATAGAAACATGACATCCAACCCGACCATTCTGGACTGATCCTTTTTCTCAACAGAGAAAATCATGTTACTTTCAGCGTACCTTTCCACATCCTTTTCCCTCATATACTTATCCAGTATCCTTTGTAAACATCTAAACTATATATTCAACGCTTTCTGTGGTAATAATTTTCACTTTGAATAGCCTTCTCCTTACTTATTGGGGAGGCATAATGATAAATCTAATCTGGATTACAAATCCAGAGATCCAGCCTACTACTCTGGGAACATGGATCTGAATTCCACCATGGCAAATGGTGAAATTTGAATTCAATAAAATCTGGAATTAGAAGTTATTATACTAATGGTGACCACTAAACCATTGTTGATTGTCCTAAACAACCATTTGGTTCACTCATGTTCTTTAGGGAAAGAAAAATCTGCCATCCTCACCTGGTCTGCCTTGCAGCAGGCTGTGGAGGTGCTGGTGTTGGACTAGCGTGGACAGAGTCAGCAATCACACAGGTTATAGTCCAGTAGGTTTATTTGAAAACACAAGCTTTCGGAGTCTTACTCCTTCTTCAGACACAGAATTTATAAGTAAAAGATCAAAGCGTCACACCACTGATGAGAGTGTATTAAACAAACCGAAGATGCTGTTAAATCTTTAATCAGTTAGGTTTTATTTGATCAATAAGTATATGTAAATCCCCAAATTCCTTTCAAGTCCCTGTCCTGTGAGAACTAAAGGCTTTATCAGTGCAAAAAAGAGGTGACATTTTAGGTCAGACTGTGCATATTAGGTATGAGGCCTTGTTTAGAATCTGTGTTTTGGTTTGGAGTCAGGCTGGTTTTATTTCTAAAGTAGGAATTCATAAAATGCCACATGACTGTCTATAAATTTTGTGATTTTTGAACAAAACAGAATGTATCTGCAAATACATATTCACCCAGTAGATGCACAAGCGTGTGTGTGTGAGTGAGAGAGAGAGAGAGTCTGACTCCAAACCAAAACACAAACAGATTCTAAACAAGGCCTCACACCTAACATGCGCTATCTGACCTAAAGTGTCACCTCTTCTTCACGCTGATAAAATCTTTAATTCTTA